AGTGGATTTTGATGTAGCTTTATGTCCTCCAAGTCAGTTACCATGTCTATCAGCTTCCCAAATTTTAGGTTTTTTGTTTCCTCCCTGTCCTGTGGTCCTGTTTCTATGCCCCTTTCCTGTAGGTTTATTGGGGATTTAGGAGGAAAGCAAAATTAGATGGTGTTCTATCCGCCATCCTAACTTAGCCTTTTTTTTGTCTTTTTTTTCCCAGAAGACCTTACCTGAAAGCCATTAACTCAGTCTTAATTCCTTTTCTTTTCTCATGACTCATATTCCTGAGATAAGTTAATAACTTGAGGCTATTGTGCCACCCCCTTGCCATACTACCTCAGAAGATGTTGATGTTGCTAAATATTTTTACATGTTCTGGACTGCAAAGAACTTAAGATTTCTTTGACTTGCTGACATCTGAATAAGAAATGTCTTCCCTTTTTCTTCTCTACCATGACTTTGTAAGAAAATGTGGATTGGTAAGTGTCTCTACAAAGTTTTCTTAACTTCCAGCTGAGGCAGAAAACATCTGGTCAAAAGTAGAAATTTTTTCCATTTCATTCTGGCCCTAATTCTCTCTATGCTTCTTACAAAACTCTTGAACTGATATCTTTGTAATGCTTTTTTTTTTTTTTTTTTGGTGTGCTAAGCAAAACTGTTTATCACAGCCAGGTCACTTTCTTCTCCTCATTTTTAAAAATTTCAAAGATTATAAACTATTGTTTAAAAATAAGAGCCACTATAATAACTTATCAAGTATGACTCCAAGTAGAGAGGGAAAAGACAAATAGCTAAGTTGATACTGTTTTAGAACATTTTCTATTAAAGAGGTTCTATATTTTTTTGAAAATCACTTGCTCTGATTTTTAAAATAGTTATGCATAATCTTTGTAAAAAATTTGAAAATGCAGAAAACTAAAGGATACTATTCACCTTTATTCATACTATTCAAAGGTAATTACTCTGTATCCTTCCAATCTTTTTTGTAAATATAAGAATAAAATATATCATTAACATTTTTCCATGTTATTCTCCTACAAATCATTTTTAATTACTATATTCTCATTTACCAGTTGGCAACTTATTTCTGTAAAGGGCCAAATAGTATATAACTTTTGGCTTTGTAGGTCATATAGTCTGTTACAACTACTGAACTCTGTTGTTGTAGTCTGAAAGCAGCAATAGATATATGAACAAATGAGCCTGGCTATGTTCCCATTAAACCTTATTTACAAAAACACAAAGCCTCAGATTTGGCCCACTGGCTGCCGTTTGCCAACCTCTAGTTAATATTTTAAAACCCTTTATTTTGACATAGTTTTACAAAATGTTACAAAATAGCACAGAGAGATCCCTATGCCCGTTTACCCAATTTTCCCAAAATTACATCTTAAATATCTATAGTACAATATCAAAATAAGGAAACTGACAGTGATATAATGTATGTTCATAGTCTATACCTATCTATTTATTTAGTTATGAGGCAGGGTCTCGCTCTGTCACCCAGGCTGGAGTGCAGCAGCCTGACCATGGCTTACTGCAGCCTTCAACTCCTGGGCTCAAGCAATCCTCCTGCCTCAGCCTCTCCAGTAGCTAGGACTACAGATGCGCACCACCATACCTGGCTAATTTTTTTATTTTAATTGTAGAGATAGGGTCTCACTATTTTGCCCAGGTTTCAAACTCCTGGCCTCAAGTGATCCTCCCACCTCGGCCTCCCAAAGTGCTGGGATTATGGGCATGGGCCACTGTGCCTGATCATCTGTGCCATTTTATAACGTGCATAACCACCACCACAATGAAGATAACAGAACTATTCCATCACACAAAGATCTCCCTCATTCTACCCTGTTTAATCACAACGACCTTCCTCCCCACCCAACTATCCCTACCCCTTAACAATCTTGATCTGTTTTCCATCTGTATAATTTTGTTATTTTGAAAATGTTATACAAATGGAATCATACAGTATGTGACCTTTTTAAGACTGGCTTTTTTGGCCGGGCGTGGTGGCTTACGCCTGTAATCCTAGCAGGGAGGGAGACCGAAGCATGAGGATCACTTGAGGCCAGGAGTCTGAGACCAGCCTGAGCTAGAACGAGACCACGTCTCTACTAAAAATAGAAAGAAATTGGCTGGACAACTAAAAATATATAGAAAAAATTAGTTGGGCATGGTGGTGCATGCCTGTAGTCCCAGCTACTCGAGAGGTTGAGGCAGAAGGATCACTTGAGCCCAGGAGTTGAGGTTGCTGTGAGCTAGGTTGATGCCACTGTAGCCTGGGCAACAGAGTGAGACCCTGTCTCAAAAAAAAAAAAAAAAGACCGGCTTTTTTGTTCAGCATTGATGTCCATCCAGGTTGTTGCATTTATCAATAGTGTTCTTTTTAATTGCTCAATAATATTCCAAGGTATGGATATACCACAGTTTGTTTAACCATTTACCTATTAAAAGGCATTTTGGTTGTTTCAAAGGGTTCTTTTAAAGTTCTAGCAATCACATTCCACGTGATTCAGTGTACTGTAACAAACACCATAGACTTCATTGATCTCCATGTTTGATTCAGCTGGCTAAGCAGGTGTGCCCTTCCTTCCCGGTAGTCAAGCTTCCAAGGTGAATATGGTTCAGAATGTGATGATCCATCTATATCCAAATGTTGAATTGAGTCATATTGTATCTATCATTATTTTAAACTCATTAAAACTCACTGATTTGAACCAAAGGTCATCGATCTTTTAGGGGCTTTGAATTGCTTTGCAGGTAAGTATTGACATATCTGTAGTTATGGTGATGACTGAATCAATAGTCTTAATATTCGTAGAGATAGAGGCTCAGTTTTGCATCTGTGTTACCACTTACTACTGGTGGTCTTAGAAAAGTTGCTTGTCCTTGAGCCTCCATTTTCTCATCTGTAAAATAAAAAAGTACCAACCCTGTGTCACAGGGTCCCTGTGAAGAGCACGTGAGATAACACAGGAAAGGGGATTTGGGAATAGGAAAGCCCCATGCAAATGTTACTGTACTATTCACACAAATAGATTTATCCTTTACTAATGTTTTAGAAAAAGCAGCAGTTTAATAATCAGGATGGATCTTATTCATTAATAAGTATGTGGAGGGTTGGGGTGTCCTTGCTGAAAAAAATAAATTAATTCCCGGTTTTACAGAGTCAGAAGGCCAAAAGAATGGGGAGCGAGAGAGGTATTTCTGTGTGCTTTGATGGATGACCTGTGTTGAAAGTACAATTCCAATTAGCAGATGTGAGAAAAAAATCACTGAAATCAACCACGTCTGTAGCAGGCTACCATCTGCTTCCTGTTAACCGGGCCTGCCTTTCTCAGACTGTCTTTCCTTGATTTCCATGACCCTGTTCTCTCCTCTTCTCCTGCTGGCGTATCATCATCGTTTTCTTGGCCCTTAGATGTAAGTTTCCCTAAGGATCATCTCTGTACTTCTCTTTCCGTGACTTCTTCCCTGGCAGTATCATGCCTTTACTTCATTCCTCAAGGCCTACATCTGTGTCTCTAACCCTGACCTCCCTCATTTCCATCCTGCTGGCTGGACGACTCTGTTTCTACTCAGTGTTTCCAAAGCTGAGATCATTGTTCTTCGTAAGATGGCCCTTTTTCTCAAGTTTTCTAGTTCCGTCCACAGCCCCACCATCTTCTCAGTCCTTCTGCCTCCAAACCTAGCACCATCCTCAGCATTCTTCTCTTTGCCGCCTCCCAGCGCCCTCCCCCCGCCAAAATCTAGTCATGCTGTAGATTCTTTGACACGGCAAACCCATGTCCTCTTTCCTTTCCATTTCAGGCCTCCACTTCTGCTTTTTAACTAAAGTCCCCTCTTCTCCCCTGACCCCTGATCCATTCATCCCTTCTTGTCTCTGTCACGTGAATCTCCTGCAGCTCAGTGTCCCTGACGGCTCTCCGTGCTTGCAGAGTAAAGCCCAGATTATTAGTCAAATATAATTAGACTAATTATCCATACTCAGACCTCAAACTGCTTTTTTAATCTTTATATACTCCAGATGAACCAAAAGGAAGTAATACCAAGTAAAACTATTTTTTCACAATTCCAAAATGTTTTGCTTTTCTCATGATACTTTTCTAACTTCATTTAAAATTTATCTGCATACTTCCTCTCCTTTTCTGTGTTGGACTCATGTACAGTTTCTCTCAATATTTCCACAGAGTTGCTTATAGAAGATACTTAATTATTTATTGAGTGAATGATTGGTTCTATGGTAGAAATTCAATTCTTGTTTGGCCCATACGTTCAACCAGTATGTATTGAGTGCCTTACTATGAGTCAAATACACTGAGGCATTTGGGATATAGTAGACACAGTCTCAGCCGTTGCAGAACGTATATTCTAGTAGGAATCCTAAGATGTTGTTATTGGATTATGTATAACTGACTTTATACTAAAATATTAACTTTGTACTTATGTCTAAAGCAAAGCCATTAGGCACTCCGTTTACGGATATATTAGGGCAGGGCACGATGGCTCATGCCTGTAATTTCAGGATTTTGGGAGGCCAAGGCAGGAGGATCACTTGAGCCCAAGAGTTCATGACCAGCCTGGCAACATAATGAGACCCTCTCTCTACAAAAAAAAGGAAAATTAGCCAGGTGCAGTGGTCACACCTGTAGTCCCAGCAACTCAGGAGTCTAAGGCAGGAGGATCGGGCCACAGCACTTCAGCCTGGGTGACAGAGGGAGACCCTATCTCTAGTCAAAAAAAAAAAAAAAAAAAGGAATATATTAAATAATTTGTATTCTGGTTGCCTGAAGGATATGGAATTTCCTTGTTTAGTGAAGTGAGAAGTTTCTACTAGGATAGGAAAACACAGGTGAGTGTATACAGGATCTTCCTGAGCGGAGGAAGCAGTTGGTGGGGAGGGAAAAGAAAGAAGATGTCAAGCTATTGAGGTCACCTCCAGTCAGTCATTTCTTCTGAGCCAGGCAATTCCACGAAACTAACATAATGTACTCTTGAATCTTACGCAGATGGCAATCGGGAGTTATTTCCCTGTGAAGTCTGTGGAAGACGCTTTGCAGCAGATGTTCTGGTAAACATAAAGACATCTTGTAGATGTGTTGCATTGGCGCTAAATGAACTGTCAAGTCAGTGAGGAGGCGGCGGTGCAAAGATTAAAGACAGATGTGGAGGGAAGCTAGGGAAGAGAAGTACATAACCTATGGCTGGCGGGCCCGGAGGACACCGAGGCTGATGGATGCCGCTTCATTCAAAAGCGACCCTATTAAACATGGTGCTCCTAATACGATGGCAGATGGAAGTATCTTGGCACAGTCGATTATCCCTTGAGAGGTTTTGGCTCTTCCGCCTTTTCTTTAAGCATCAAAAATTCAAATTTCAAGGCCAAAGCACCAGGGAAATTAGCTAGTCAAGAGGAATGAGCATTGAATTTCAGACATCTGGAAACTTGGCTTTTAGCCGCAAATTTGTCACTAATTCTGACAAGTCCTTTAACCTTCCTGTTTTCTGCTTTGCCACGTATACAGAACCTTCCAACTCCAGGGTTTTTATACCATTTGAACAAAATAATACATGGATGTGAGGCCTGTTCCAAGATGTAATTGTTATCCAGATTCAAGCTAACTGCATGTCGGGTCCCCTGATTGATGGCCATAAAGCTGGATAAAAGCTTGATTTATTTCAAAACTAGGGAATCAAACAGGTGGTAGCCTCCAGTATTATAAAGAGATTCCCAAGAAAGATAGTTTTGCTTAAAAAAAAATAAATCTAAGATCGTAATGCAATTATTAATTAGGCCATTTTCAATAAAGGAAACATATCAAATTTAAAGCATTTGGATTATAAGCTTGACTACGTTTGGGACCAGAGACAACAAAATGAGGTTGTAGGTTTATTTTTCTTGGAATTTCAAAAATGAACTCATTCGTTAACTGTGGTTAGAGCTTCCTGAAACTAGAGGGGGAGCACACAGAGCCTGCTAGGGCCCTGCAAGCAACCGGTGTGCCAGCGTTGCCTTTGCCAGCCCAGAGCTGCCCCCCCGACCCCCTCCGAGAATCGGTTTGAGACCCGGGAGGTACCATTTGAAGAGGGAATCTCTAAATGTCAAACATATCCTTGGTACTCCTGAATGTCACTTCCTCAGCCTACCTCTAGGCTACAGAGAACATTTGATCAAGTGATCTGATCTCTCTCTCTCTCTCTCTCCTTTAGTTTAAAATGGGATGGCTTCTTGTTAGCCAGGTGCAGTGATTTTCACAGAGCGTGTACTTTTGGGGATTGGACAGAGCAACTGTATAAATACTAGCTATCACGTGTTATATGTCCACTGAGGAAGAAGGAAAAGAACCCACAGTGACACAGTGACAGACTTTATTGGGTAGCACACAGGCAAATATCTATGTGTTGGGTCCTCAGTTTTTGTACCAGAAATATTCTTAAAGGACTACTGGTTGGAGTAAAGAGCATACTGCCCAAGTTTGAGTCAAATATATAAAACCCAATTTGAAGTAAGTCTCTGCAGCGGTAAAAGCCTTTTATTGTCTTTGCCCAAACATAGTATCTAGTTTTGTGTGACACAGGTGAGGAGAGGCGGATGGATTTGCTCTGCTGTGATCTGTTAGAGAATGAACTAGGTAGGCTCTGAGGGGCAACCCTCAGAAACCGTAGTGAGGGCTAAGTACACCTGGGCATTAAAAACTCTGTGATTGTGCATTTTTAAAATCCCAATCCCCACCTTTCCTTTTCTAGGAGAGGCACGGACCAATATGTAAGAAACTCTTCAACAAAAAGCGTAAACCTTTCAATTCCTTGAAGCAAAGATTACAAGGCACTGACATTCCTACTGTGAGGAAGGCTCCTCAGTCCAAGGTACTGTTGACATCTTCTTTCTTGTTCTTTATTACGTTCTTCACTAGAGCCTATGTCTGGGCTTTCTGGCCTCATTTTTCTCGATAGTGCGGTGTAGTGTCACGTGAGTGTCATCTGCCTTTACCGTTTTCTTTACAATCTTGCTCACTTAGATTTCCAAATATATTCCAGATACTTCCCAGATGTGGCAGAAAGAATCTTGCTTATACTTTCATTAGAGTAGCTTTAAATCTAGCAATTAACTTGGGAAGAAAGTCACTTTTAATATTATTTTTGTCTTCCTTTAAAGTTTTGTAGTATGTTTTTCTGAATTTTATTTTGTGTTTTCCCTCACTTTTGTGTCTTGCAAATTTCATTACTATATTTTCGAAACCTCTTTAAGTAGTTCTTTTGAAAAACAAATTCTTTTTTCTCCAAATTTCACAGTCCTGTTTCCTATAAATTCAAAATCCCAGCTTTTAAAAAAAGAAATCGTGATTAAGGGTAGTATTTGTTGGTTTTATTTTTTACAGTCTCAACCTGTGAGGAAATCTAACTGGAGACAACAGCATGAGGACTTCATTAATGCGATCCGATCAGCAAAGCAGTGTTCACTGGCCATTAAAGAAGGCCGGCCCCTCCCGCCTCCACCCCCTCCATCCGTGAACCCAGGTGTGTGCATAGTTTGGTTTACTTTTGAGACTGAGGCTATGCTTGACTTTTGGCCAAGTCATTATGCCTTCTATGCACTATAAATTGACAATAACAATTATATAGAAATAATTTTATCAATTATATAAAGGTAAATTTACATTATTCTGTTTTTTTTCCAATTCTGCATGAGGATTCTGTGTTTCCTCCTAACTCTGTCTCAATATGAGACCACCACTGTACCTGTGCCGTTGCATTACATAACTTCAGGGGACACCATTCATGCCATGGCTGATGCACATGGCACTGTGCAGAGCAGTCTAAGCAATTCCAAAATATACACTGCTGGTGGGACTGCAAACTAATGCAACCTCTGTGGAAAGCAATGTGGAGATATCTCAAAGAACTACAAGTAGAACTACCACCATTTGATCCAGCAATCTCATTACTGGGCATCTACCCAAAAGAACAAAAGACATTCTATAAAAAAGACATCTGCACTCGAATGTTTATGGCAGCACAATTCACAATTGCAAAGATGTGGAAACAACCCAAGTGCCCATCAATACATGAGTGGATTAATAAAATGTGGTATATGTATACCATGGAGTTCTACTCAGCTACAAGAAACAATGGTGATATAGCACCTCTTGTATTATCCTGGATAGAGCTGGAACCCATTCTACTAGGTGAAGTATCCCAAGAATGGAAAAATAAGCACCACATGTACTCACCATCAAATTGGTTTTAACTGATCAACACCTAAGTGTAGGAATAACATTCATCGGGTGTCGGGCAGATGCGGTGGGGAGGAGTGGATGGGTATATACATACATAATGAGTGCGATGTGCACTGTCTAGGAGATGGACACACTTAAAGCCCTGACTCGGGGTGGGGGGGGGCAAGGGCAATATACGTAACCTAAACATTTGTACCCCCATAATATGCTGAAATAAGAAAAAAAAAACAATTCCACAATAGCTCCATAAACAGACACCCACAGATTGCTCTCTCTCTTTTTTTTAATTTTTTTTTTGAGACAGAGTCTCACTCTGTTGCCCTGGGTAGAGTGCAGGGGCATCATTGTAGCTCATTGCAACCTCAAACTCCTGGACTCAAGTGATCCTCCTACTTTAGCCTCCAGAGTAGCTTGGACTGTAGACCTGCACCACAACACCCAGCTAATTTTTCTATTTTTAGCAGAGACAGGGGTCTCACTCTTGCTCAGGCTGGTCTCGAACTCCTGAGCTCAAGTGATCCTCCCGCCTCAGCTTCCCAAACTACTAGGATTACAGGCATGAGTCACCTTGCCTGGCCTCTATTTTTTTTCTTTATAAAATTCCCAATACATAAAATTCACCATTTTAATCATTTAAAGTTATACACAATTTAGTGGCCCACAGCTTTTTTACTGCAAGATTTTTAGTTTGAAAATTTTCAAATCTATAGAAAAGAGGAAGGAAAGTACAATGATCACCCATACGCCTTCCATTGAAATTTGACAGTTGTTGACATTGTTGCCATATTTTCTCTCTCTCTTTTTCTTTTTTTGCAGAACCATTTAAACATAAGTTTCAAACATCTTTAACACTACCCTTAACTATTTCAGTATGCATCTCTTAAGTGTAAGTTCATTTTCCTGCATAATTATAATACTATTATCACACTTAATATGTAGACTCATATTTTCCTAATTATCCTAAGAATGTCTTTTAAAGATCTCCTCTAACCCCAGCCCAGCCACAATCCAGGATCCAGTCAGAGTTTGCATATTGCCTTTTGTTGTCTCTTCAGTCTTTTTTAATCCTACACAACGCTCCTACCAGGGTATTTCTCTTTTAGAATATCTCATATTCTGCATTTGTCTACTTTTTGAGTCATATTAATGTTTAAGTTGTTCCTCTATCCTATCTTGCTGTAAATTGGAAGTTAGGACTAGAAGCTCAGTTAGATTAATATTAATTTCTTATCAGATACAGTATATGATTTGCAAATTTTTTTTTTCACTTCTGGGGACTTTTTACTGTCTTAATAGTGTCCTTTAATGCACAAAAGTTTTTAATTTTGAAGCGTAGTGTATCTGTTTTTTCTTTTGGTGCCTGTGCTTTTGATGTCATATCCAAAAATTCACCATCAAATCCAGTGTCATGAAGTTTGTCCCTTGTGTTTTCTTTCTTTCTTTTTTTTTAGTTTTAGCTCTTACATTTAGGTCTTTGATCCATTTGAAGTTAATTCATGTGTGTGGTATAAGGTGAGGTTCTAACTTCATTCTTTTGCCTGTGGATATCCAGTTTTCTCAGCACCATTTATTGAAAAGACTGCCCTTTCCCCATTGAATGATCTTGACACCCTTATCAAAAGTCACTTGACCATACATTTGAGGATTTATTTTTGGACTCTCTATTCCATTGGTCTGTATGTCTGTCTTTATGTCAGTATTGCATTGTTTTGATAACTGTAGCTTTGTAGCAAGTTTTGAAATTAGGAAATGTGAGTCTTTCAAGATACATCCAAGATTACTCGGGCTATTTGGGATCCTTTGGGATTCCATATGAACTTAAGGATGGTTTTTGTCTCTTTATGTAGAAATGCCCTATTGGGATTTTGCTAGGGATTGTATTGAACCCATAGATCCCTTTAGGTAATATTGTCCTTTTAACAAGATTAAGTTTTCTAATCCATGAACATGAGATGTCTTTCATTTGTTTATGTGTTTAATTTCTTTCAGCAATGTTTTGTAGTTTTAAGCGTACAAAT